GCCGAGCCGAGCCGAGCCGAGCCGTGGCCCGGCGACACCGGTGGGTTGCGAGCTGCCCCGTCCCGGGCGCGGGACGGGAGCTTCGTGCCGGCGGGGGCCGCCCCGGCTGGGTGGTAGGCACGCCTTGGACAGCTCCGTAGCTGCGCGTAAGAGGCGGGGGCTCCGCCTGCGTGGAAGCCCTTCGGGCGGAGCGGCTTCTTTCGGGTCCCCCCCCGCCGGTGTCTTTAAGCTTAAAGGTTCAGCCCAGAGACGCTGGAGCGTTGTGAGCTGTTGGGAGAGGTGCGGAGCTCGGCGGCCGTCGGCGTGCGCTCGCTCCCCTTGGCCCCTCCGCCAGCCCTCGAGTGCGGGTTTGGTGCCCGGGAGGGACGATTCCTACCCGGGTCTGTGGTGGTGCCTAGAAGGAAGCATGCTTCGGCTGTTGGTTACCGTGTGCTGCTGGAGCCTTGTCACGCACGCTATGCCGTTAAAAACAGGGTGATAGCAGTTCTGCGGTAGGGTTATCATGGGTTTATGTTCTGTTTAAAGATGCTACGCCGAGCCCGGGTAGAGTAGTTCAGGACTTCTGCGTTGCAACACTGGTGACAAATTTGCCTTTGCCATTTGTGTTACTCATTTCTCTGGGGGGAGGAGGAGTTGGTGGGTTTTTTCATCCCGGTGGTTTTTTTTTTTGCCTTAAACTGGGATTAACTTTCATATGGACAATGACGTAAATTAGAGTCCAAAGCTCAGCACATGTGTCCAGGTGTTATTTAGATTGTTACAAAGCATTTTTTATGAGTCAAAGGCTAATCCTCTGGAACACAAACCTTACTGAGGATTTTTAGAAGAGTTGGGGTTTTGGTTTTTCTAATGGACTGAGTATCATCACTTCCTGAGAACAGATCATCTGTTTGCACTCTTTCAATAGATAGCCAATTACCATAAACAGGCAATGCATCACTGGACTTAAGAATTACAATATTCTTAGAAGACCCTTGCATGCTAATGTATAAAACTTGCCAGTGCCAACTACTGTAGGTGTGCAGCACCACTGCAGAACTATGGCTATCATACTGGTGATAACTTGGACTAGTCAGTATGTCTTTTTTTTTTTTTTAAACAGAAAAAACCATATAAATCAACCATGCAAAGATCATATAACAGACCCACGAAACAGCTGAACTTGCAGTCATTGCACCAAATGCAAAAGGATATTATGACTTCAGACTCCGCCTGAATGCCTAAAACTTACTTTCACAGAAATAGTGCGGGTTTACTTCCCTGCTGATGCCCCTAACAGTCTTTTTGTCTAGTATAGTACAGATACTTGTTTGTCAGGGAGGGGAGATGGTGTTACCTGCTCAGTCCTTTCAGGTCTTAGGTGTCATAGGCCCTACCTCTTTAAATGTGACCTAGGAGGACAGAGCAGATGAAAAACAGGGTGTTTGCATGTGGTTAAATAGTTATTAACTGATGTGTGCTCATGGAAAGCAATGCTTGACAAATGTTAAACTGGCTTGACAAACTCTGTAGATTAGCACTGCTGCCAAGAGAAGCAGCCCCATTACTACCTGTCCTTCTGCTACACCGTACTGTTGCAGGCACGGGTAACTGGATGGTAAACTGGAGGGAATTTTTTCAGCTGAAAACTAACATTCTTCCCCTCCCTCCTCCTTTGCAGAATTGTTTTTCAGCTGGAGTAGTTTTCCAGTATAGTTCACTATGGACTCTGCAAACACCTGCCCTAGAAGAAAGTTCTAGGAGAAGAGTCAGGGAAAGACAAGATTGTGTCTTCTGGCAGCTCTGACCACCAAAGGTGTTCAGCCAGCCAGAGCCTAAGGGTTGGTTTCTTGGCAGCAACAGGGATATGGGCGGGCAAATGTAACCTTTTTCAGAGTTCAGTCTTCAGTCTTTTCTGGAGAAGATTGAGTGCTATCTAGTCCTTCTCAGTGCTAAATCAGCTAGGATGGCTTAAACTGCCCTTACAGTAGTTTTAATGATTTCAGATTATTCTGTGGTGGAGCAGAGGAGCACTTGTATGGTTTGTGCTGTTAACTCTCACAACAAGGGACTGGTGAATTCTTACACTGCTGAGACCAGATTCATAAAAGAGTCTGAAGATACTCTTTCTTCTAAACCTTAATGAAATTTTAAAAACATCTTTCTCCTCAGTATGTCACTTATTTCTTTTTTAAGTTTTTTTGTTTGTTTTGCCACCGCAGCTTCTGTTTACCTAGTCTTTTTTATATCATTAATGCTTGAGCTAGTGATTGTACTTTTCTTTAGGGACTTCTGTGGTACTAATATTGGTAGAATTAAGTCTCTCAGAGTTCTCCCGAAATGATTAAAATACTGTCTAAGGTAAAATGCATTGAAATCTGTGAAGCGGCATGTATGTTGCAGGTTTTTTTGTTAGCATTAGAACAAGCAGTTGAGGTTCTGACAGTAGCTTTGCAAAAAGAAAAAAAAAGGACAAAAGGACAGAAAATAAGGCTTATCTATAAATGGTATTTCTTAATACAATAGCTGCTTTCCTTGTTGCTGAATTAAGAGTTTTCACTGGCTACTATTTTTCACAGTGAAAAGGAAGAACTGAGGAGAAAACAAACTATGAAAGTATTGGTTATTGGCCTTGGAGGGTAAGTATTAGCAAATTAAATTTCCTCTTCAGCTCAAGACTGGTCTTCCTTTCAGAATGAAGTGATATGATTTCTATTTCTGAATGGATATTTTTTGAAAATAGATTACAAATACAACTTATAATTGTGTCATTTTATGGCATGTAACGTTTAAGAAATTGTTCGGTCTCTGTTGGAGATCTCAGGTACCATCTCTCTCTAACCTCTTTCTTGGCACTGCTAGATTTACTGTTTGAAAGCTGTTGGAACCTGTCAGAAAATTTCTAGAGGTAGAGAGTATTTAATGTGAATAAACTTCGGGGGGGGCTTGGTTCGTGTCTTTTTGTCTAATTATATAGAAGTGTGTGTGTGAGGTTGTACATATGTTTAGAAGATTGGGGTTTGTCTTCATGCAGTTTTTACTATGTTTTCTAACTCAGTGTAACAAATGGGGGGAAAACAACGCTGGCAGAAAAGCTTAAGAAAATGCTTCCCAACTGTGATATAATCTCTCAAGATGACTTCTTTAAGGTAACATTATTGATGGAAGGACCTGACAGGTAAAAGTAGGCTCAAGTAGATTTTTAGTATCATTTCTTCTCTTTTCAGTTCTCCTATTGATAAAACTTTTAAAATTGATGCTGCTTAAAATAATGTTAACTTAATGAGAAAGAGAAATAAAATGAGCACTGGGGTAATTGAAATTCCAGTGATCAAAAACACTGAGTATACTCAGCAAAAAAGAAGTTTACTGTCTTCTTTGATACCCTTTTAAAGTAAGGAATGGATATACGTTGGATGCATTTTTCAAGATACTTTGTTTTAAATGAAGTTAATGATATTGTGTTAACCCTACACCCATACAGCAATAGGTGATTCTTTGTCTCCGAAATCAAAACAGAAAAACAACTTTTGCATTGACATTGGAGTTTTTTATTAAGGAGGGTGAAGGAGCTCTTATTTCTGAAGTAAAGCTCTAATGAATTTAAGAGGTATGATTTGGAGAATTTGTTGTTCTAGATTTAATAAAGTGTTTGTATTGTATTTTAACAGTTGTATACAGCAGTTTAATTTTGAAGAGAAATTTAATCAATTGGGATAAAAAAGTGTATAACACTTACGTTTGTAACTGAAGAGTATATATCTGTGACAGTGGTCATAAAAGCAGCCTTGAAAATATTCACTTTTTTCCCCTTCAGCCAGAGTCTGAAGTAGAAACAGATGAACGTGGATTTAAGCTATATGATGGTCAGTAACTTTGATGCATTGCTTTTGAAAATTGGACTGAAATTCTGTTGTGCTGAGCTTCAACACTTCTTCCCCTCTAGCCCCTGCCCCTCTTCCATTCTGAGCAAGGCAGTAAACAAATGGTTGTTTCAGAGCATTCCTTTGCTCAGTTTCTTTCAGGTCACTGAGATAAATAAGAAAACTTGCTGAACTAGTAAATAGCTCAAGTTAGTGCTTGACCTTTCCTTCTCTCTTTTTAATCTTTTCCTCTATTTCTACAGTTGCGTCTGGTGCAGTAGCAAATGGTCCTGTTCAGTTAGAAGTCTTGGCTTGCAGCACTGGCATAAGCTTAACCTCATCACTTTCCATGTAATGATGGATTTTTATTTTTTTTCACTTTGATAATGAACTCAGGGGATATCACCGCTGAGTCTCTTTCATTGTCATATTCCAAATCATTCAAAACTTGGGTCTGATCCTGACACGTTTATATCATGTCAGATCTCACATACAGATCAAGTGTTTTGAAGTTCATGGTTAGTGCTGTCTCAACGTGCCAATTTAGTCTTAGAAACTTCTAGATCCAAATCCACTTTAGGCCAGTGCTTTGGTTCAGGTCTTATCTAGTTGTGAACAGTTGCTTATTAGCTAATCTCTGTTGATACTTGGTGATAACAAAATGTATTACTCAGAACATTGGCCAGAACCTTAAATTGTATCTGAAAACTGACTCTTACCAGCTATGCAGTCTTTGGCTCAAGTTCTAGACTTCATGAAACTGAAATGTGAAACTGGAGGGATAAGTTGGACATTCTGGTTCAAATATCTGGGTTTAATGCTGCTCTTACAAGCTCCTCTAAAATGTGTTCGCTCTTATGTTACCCAAAGGCTGCCTCCTCTCTACCATTTACTCAATATGTTCTTACATACCTACAGACAAAAATAGTTGCTACACTGCCCTGTTTTGCTTTGTATGCCAGGCTCCTTTCAATCCATCCATCCCCACCCTCCAAATACCTGAACACAGTAAAAACCCAAAGCAAAAACGTTGAGCACCCGCTCCCTTTGCCTGTGTCAGTGACAATTGACAGAAGGGTGGAGGTCTTGGGGTAAGTAAGTTCTCACAAGTTTTTTGAATAGGAGAACAGTCCATGCAGTTTCTGTTGCCAAGGGAAAGGCTGTGAAATGAGTTCACACACTTTTTAGTGCCACAGAGTTGAGAGAGACCACATCCACCAGAAATACCCCCACCCTGGGGAAAGCTTTAGTTTCAGGGTATCATCAGTTGCAAACATGGAACTGATTGTATGCCTGAGGGAGAATTTTGGGGGTAATCCTGTTCCCTTTCATTTAGACTTGTATGTAGATTATTTGATTCTTACTGATTAACCTAGGGGTACTTAAGGGTTTGTTGGTTGGGTTTTTTTTTATTCTCTGTTTTTAAGGTGTGCCTAACTTTCTGTTTTCATCTAGTACTTGATGCCCTCTATATGGATGAAATGGTGAAAAGTATTCGCAATTGGATGAAAAGCCCAACAAGCTTAGGTGTTGTGATGCAAGAGCCACAGAATACATGTGACAATCTGAAAGATACAGAAGATGTTTATATTTTGATTGTTGAAGGCTTTCTGCTATACAATTATGAGTAAGCAGTAACATGTAACCTGGTATATTAAAAGCTGCCCTAAAAAGGAAGTGGGAACTAAATATTTTATTATCTTAGGCCACTTAATGAACTATGGAATAGAAGATATTTTTTGACCCTTCCTTACGAAGAGTGCAAAAGGAGAAGGAGGTAAGGTTATTTGGTTATTGCTCACAGAGGTTCATTGTACCCCATAAGCTGGAGTGGTTCTTTTGTACTAGCTTTTCTTCAGTGCTTGCCAAATGTAAGCTATTAAGATCATCTGTCCTCTGTGATTCCCAGGGAAGGCTGTGTGGGTATTTAACCAACATTAACAAAAACATGCAGAGATGGGGGGAGGGTTGGTTTGGGGTTTTTTTGCATTTTGGAGCACAGGGATAATAGTGTTTTATAAACACTGAAAAGATAATTTGTTGTCCAGATAAATTATTACTGACTGCATATTGGAGTTAAACCATATTTAAAATGAGAAGCAGTTAAAAAAAGCAGTCTTATCTTTGTTTGAATACAGCTACATGATGATTATTGTTAAAGTAACAATGTTCATGTGTGGTTTTATTGTACACTTTGTTTAGGCTGTGCATTAGTTGTACCATATATCTGATTTAGATTATTGAGCCATTGTCTGACTTGCCTCCAAGTTTGGAGGAAAACTATGTGCTTGGAGCAATACATGTGCATGAAGTCCGAATCTGCTGGCTGGGTGAAGAAATCATCTATTCAGCTAGCTTTGGTTGATTCTACTTTCTTGGTTCTCACTAGACTCACCTTTAAAGTGTCCAGGCTGGAAGTGACTAGACAAAACTGCTAGTCATTTAAAACTTGAGAAACCTGTATACCCAATAAAAAAAAAAAAGAAAAAGTAATTTGTTTTGGTAACACTTTCAACACAGCTTAATTTATGTGTAATACCTCTTTCAATTAAAAAAAAAAACCCAAAAAACTTTTACCTTATCTTAAATGTAATTTGATTGGCAAAAATAGGTAAGTTAGCAAGAGTTCAGTATCACAGATTATATTAAAACAAAGGAACCACCATTGCTCCAACAGTTATGCAGCTTGCTAGTCTTTTTTTTTTTTTTTTTTTTTTTTGGATAGATGCTCTTATTAAACCAGCTGAAACTAGGGGAAAATGTAAAACTTGTATGGGAAAGCAAATATATTTTTGTGTAGCACCAGAGTCTATCAGCCAGCAGATACACCGGGGTACTTCGAGGGACACGTGTGGCCTATGTATCTGAAATATAAAAATGAATTGGAAGAGAATGCAAGTAACATTGGTATGGTATCCTTAATTTTAAACTTATAAAATGTTGCAGTGTGGCACTTGTGCAGGTTTTTGGGGGTTGTGGGTTTTTTTGAATGGGATGAAGTTTTGTTCAAATGTTTTTGTGGCACTTGGACAGTAGGTTTGGACCTTTTGTTGGTTTCTCTTTCAAGTCTATAGGGTTTCTGCTTTTTTAACAATGAAAATTATGAACTTAAAAATAGAAATGTTCTGATCACTAATTAAGTCCATTTAACAAGCTACTTTGTGTGTGCATGTGTGCATACATACGTATACTAAATAGGAAGCTTCTGAAACGATAGATGATGCACTAGCAGAATTCTTAGAATGGAACTGAAATTCTGGTTGAAGGCCTATAATAAGCTGAAGATATTTCCTAGGTGCTGACTGTACACACTACAGTCACCAGTCTCGCATGAGAAGTGTCAAAGCTGGGCCAGATGATGGGATGCTGTCATGAGCTTGTGTAATGTTCACGCTTGCACAGCTCTTGAACTGCCCACTTCTGGAGTGGGGGCCAGAGGAAAGAGAAGTCAGGTGGCTGCTTCATCAGCACACAGCTTCTTACCGTACCGTGAGCATGGGAACCGCAGTGCCGTTCCCTGACTTGCTCAAACCCTGAAGCTGAGGAAGAACTTGAGGTCTTCCCCTGCACAGGAACATTTCTGCTGAAATATTCCATTGCTCCACTGTCCTAACGTTATTACCACTACCTTTATGGAGACTTCTATACCACAAAAAAAATTGTAAATTAATTCTTAATTAGAATACTTTTCCTTTATGTTGTTTTTTGACATGTGAAATGAATTTGGGAAAGAAGAAAAGGGAGGTACTGTTCTTGCGTTTTATTTTTTCATCTCTTCTGATGGCACCCATAGAAATACCGAAAACTTTGCCAATTGCCATTACAGATAACCGGTATAGAATTCATGAAAACTTTTTCTTTCATCTTTCTTAGTTTATTTGGATGGCACAAAATCCCAAGAGGAGCTTTTATCCTGTGTGTATAGTGATATAATACAGGAATTAAAAAAGCTGAGGGAAGGAAGTAAGTAATGTTACTGGAAATTGAATCTGCTTATCCCATTCCAAGTTAACAAGAAGCTAATCCTTTTATGTGAAAATAACTGCAAGTATTATATAGATCTATATCTCCTTATGTATTACAGTCCTTATACATGTTTGCCCATTACTCTAAGTCATCATAAGCTTTAAGTTCATTGAAACTGGATGTTCTGAAATAATAGGTGAATCCATTGTTATCTAGTGATAAAATAATAATAAAAGAAGGGGGAACAGAAGGAATATGGGGCAAAACATTGATGAAAGAAGATGTGTTGGTGGCATTAGTTTCTAATACACAGTGGTGTCACATGCAAACAGCGAAGCGACACTACAGGTTAAATGTGTACTTTTTATTTTTATTTTAGATCAGCGGGTGACAGCATGATACTGTAGAAAGCCTGGGTTCCATTTGATATGAATTGAACACCCCGAGACTGTCATACTTGGCAGGCCAACCGAGCAGATGTTATGTGTACATCCATAACACTAGTTCATACAACCCAAGTGGATTTGTAGTGACTATTAACTCTGTAAGCCTCAAATATTTTTGAGTAGTATCAACAATGCATTATTATTTAGAATTCCTTTAACCAGTTGTGCTTTGGCTTATCTTTAAATATGATTGAATGTGTACATTTTAAAGAATATAAATATATTTTTGTGTGTAAAACTAAACAGTAAAGATGCAGTTCTGCTGGATTAATAAGTATATCTGAACATGAATGAATGCAATTTGAAGTGTTTGTATAGGAATGACAGTGATTACCTCTAATATTTTTATGAGCTTCTAATCACTGATAAACATGGGTAGAGGAACTAGCTATATGCTGAGGCAATAGTAAGTTTAAGATTGTATAAGCTGTTATACTTCTTATTCAGTAACTGAAGGTGTTACTGAATACATCAGAACTGAACTTATTTAGACTTGCTAAATATCTCTGTGGTGTTTGTGAAGTAATTTTTGTGTTGTGTATTGGTTGGGCCAGTTGAGAATGGATATTTAAAAAAATCCAAACCTGAAGGGAAGTCAGGTTGTTGGAAAAAGATGGGGGAATAAGCTGTCGGAGAGAATGCAGATGCATCGCTAATAAGATTAAGTACATGTATTGTGCAGAGATCAAGGATTGGGATGACACAGAGTACTAGACAATAAATGCATGCTTCGGGGAGGAGGAAGGAAGAAATCTTATTAATATTCATAGCTCAGGTTGAAATTATAGTAATGAAAGTGTTCAGAAAGTATGCTAAATGTATGTTAAAGCTTTGTTATAGGATTTATGTACATATGTTTAAACTAGGAAACTGGGAAGTTGAATCATATTTGGTTGCTGAATAAGTAGTATTAACTCTTACATTGTCTATACAATAACTTACATTTTTATCAGCCAGAATAAAAATCAAGCTACAGACATGAAGAGCAAAGGATGGACTATATTACTTACTATGTGTCAGCTGAACTGATCACAGTGATGGAAATGTAATGCTTTATTGTTAACAGTATTAAGAGTCCTAAACCTGTATATAAGAAAAAGTTCTTAAACAGATTACAACTATGTAAAGCTGTGTTTAAGACAAAGTGCTTCCAGATACTATTTTGATTATTGTTTTGCAGTAAAAATACTTCAAGTCGCATTTGTTCAAATGCTGTGACGGACTGTCTGACTTTAAACTGTATTTTTGTTTTTATTTCCCTTTGGAAGGGGTGTAACTGTTAGAGATTAGCTCATACTTGGATGGTTGTGGTGTGTTGACCTTGGCTAGCCACCAGGTGCCCACCAAGCCACTCCATCACTCCCCCTCCTCAACTGGAAGGGGCGGGGGCGGGGAATAAAATGAAAGGCTCATGGCTCAAGATAAGGACAGGGAGATCACTCAGCAGTTACTGTCACAGGCAAAACAGACTCGGCTTGGGGAAATTAATTTACTGCCAATCAAATCAGAGTAGGATAGCAAGAAATAAGAACAGATCTTCAACACCTTCACCCCACCCCTCCCTTCTTCCTCTGCACAACTTCACTCCTGATTTTCTCTACCTCATTCCCCTGAGCGGCACAGGGGGACAGGGAATGGGGGTTGGGGTCAGTTCATCACACGTCTCTGCCGCTCCTTCCTCCTCACTTGCTTCCCTTCCTCCATCTCCCCATTCCCTTCATCCACCTGCTCTGGCTTGGGGTCCTCCACAGACTGCAGGGTGGATATCTGCTCCACTGTGGACCTCCATGGGCCGGGGAGCAAACTGCCTCACCTTGTGTAGGGCACGAGAAGACTTTGTTATGGTAACCCAGGACAGTTTGCCTCCCCCATCCGAGTACGTAGAGTCCCAAGCATGCGTTACCTCTCTGTTACAGTAAGCTGGGATAGTTCGCTTCCCCCCGTCCGCTTATACCCCTGCACAGGTGCCAACATGACGGCCAGCTGCAGATCTCAGAATTCAGACAATAGTACCTGCATTACCTCAGCAAGTATGCTCATGAGCAAGACAGGACAGTGCATATGCACGATATGTTAAACAGTGCAAGTTTTATTTTCCACCCATGCAGTGCTTTCCCTTCAGCTTCACTCCTGAGCAGGGCTCCACTGCATCAGGTCCCCATTTCATTAGCATCGGTGTCCCGTGCCTCCCACTGTGGTAATGCTATGTTTTCTATAAAGCCGAAGCTTACACTTGTTGAGTGATGTGCCTTGTCCCTGAGGCACCTGCTTTTTGCTTGTAACACCATGGTCTTCACCACAGGCTGCAGGGGAATCTCTGCTCCAGAGCCTGGAACACCTCCTCCCCCTCCTTCTTCACTGACCTTGGTGTCTGCAGGGCTGTTTCTCTCACATCTTCTCACTCCTCTCTCCCAGCTGGTGTTGCAGTTTTTTTCCCCTTCTTAAATACATTATCACAGAGGTGCTACCACCATCACTGATGGGCTTGGCCTTGGCCAGCAGCGGATCCGTCTTGGAGCTGGCTGGCATTGGCTCTATCAGACATGAGGGAAGCTTCTGGCACCTTCTCACAAAAGCCACCCCGTAAGGCCCCTGCTACCAAAACCTTGCCATGTAAGACCAATACAATGGCAAGGGGAAGAAATATTTTGTTGTTGCTTTTCCCATCCCTGCATGGAACTTGTAGGCTTATGGTGCCCCTTTGATAAACTTCTGAAGTATTTTCTTACGTGGAGAAATGTGTGAGTACCTGTTGGTTCTAGAGGAACATAAGGGATCTTTTTATGAGTTGAGAAGGGTAGGTAGAGGAAGTGAACGGTTAAGACTTAATGGGCTCCTCTCAGGAGGAGGAAGAATTTCAGTATTGGCAGTCCTCGAGTGATTTTATTCAGCAAGTTTAGTGGTGATTCAGAGGAAAGAATGAACAATGAAATCACCCAACTTTGCAGATGATACAGAGCTTCCTCAAGTAGTCCGACATTGGTCCAGTGGCAAGCAGGTCAGTTTTGTGAGATCCTTCCATGGGCAAAAGGGGTAGATGAGCCCAAGTTCAGATTTATGCATTTGTACTGTAAATCAGAATATACATGGTACTGAACTTGTAGTTCCGCAACTTGTAGTTACAGCTCAGGCCAGAGATCTTTGACAATTCTTCTGAAACCATCACCACTGTGCGGAGCTCCATCAAAATATTAGGTAGGCATCTAAGGCTATTGCAAACAAAACAGGTGGTGCTACTTTGCGCCTGTGTAAAACTGGTAGACCCATGTTTTCTGTATTAGGCAGTTTCAATTTCTACATCAGGAGGGAACGCATAATGGAGTTTAAAAAAGGGCAACTAATGTGATCAAGGGAGTGGAGCAGCCATTTTTTGAGGAGAGACTAAAAATGCTGGGACCCTTCACTCTGGAGAGGAGAAGACTGAGGGGAAAAATTTCAAGGTTTACAAAATCTTGAAAGCTGTGAGTCAAGTGAATGCAGAACTTGTATTCACCAAATTGTACAAATACTAGTTTAGGGGGCACTCCTTCACTTGAAACAGATTGACCAATTATATTAAGCTGGCATTTCACATAGCAGGCAGTGAGCTTCTAAGATTTAATGGCATAGGAGGCAGACAGTACCAGCAAGTTCAAAAGGGATTGGGAAGATGAATTAACACCATGCCCGTAATTAGTAAAAGAAGCAGGCAGAGCTATACCATGGATGGACTGTAGAAATTGGCCAGGCTCACCTCTGGTGCCTAAATTGTGTGTCCTCCTGCCAGTTGCCACAGCAACTCACCTTAGTGGGAAAAGACAATGAACTCTTCTGTGTCTCTTTGGGAGATGAAATATTTCAGGTGCCATTACAAAAGCTTACAGAACACGCCTGCAATGTTGGAATGTTGGCAGAATGCTTTTGCTTTGAAGGCGGTACAGCCCCTGACAGTAAAAATCTAGTTTGCCCCTGGCAGGTGCCTTTTGACTGCCAGGGCTGTGCTAGCTGTAAAGTAGTTGGGAAGAGCTGCAGGACAGGAGCCTGTGGTTCTTTTGTGAAGAAAGGAAGTTCTTTTGGAAGTGGCATCACCCTCTGCTGGTTGCAACTTCAGGCTGTCATAGCTGAAAGAAAGCTTTGCTAAGTGTCTTGCATATGTTTAGAAACACGATGGTGATAGAAGTGGTGGTGTTCTATAGAAGGCTAATGGCTTATGTATAAGCACAGAAATGCAAGTACAGTGAAAGTGATTTCTTCATGATATCAAAATAAGGGAAAAAATACGACAGTGTACTAGTCATAAACGCCGATGTAGTAGGAACAAACTTTTCATCTCACAGAGCTATTGCTCCCACTCTAACCTTCAAAGTTAAGTCTAAAAGCTGAATTTCTAACTGTTTACACTTTGTATCATTGATTCAGATGTTGGTTTTGTCAAATACATGGTGTTTCCTACTTTACGAAACCGCTTAATGTGCCCTTGGGAACAATGACTCTTGTCTGTGCAACTGGGGATATCTGTGCTTTCTCTGGCACTGCCACTGAACACCTTTGTAGTCAAAACTGTCCCACCAGTTAATGTACTTGAAATAGAGCAAGAGCAGTGCAAGAGTGAAGAAAACTGGAAAACATTGAGTAAAGTGAGAGTGTTTGTTAGGAGGCTGATGCTCCTATTTGCACAGAGAGGAGGTTAGTGTGCCAAAAAACTTCTGTTCCTCAGCTGATGTTACTTGGTTTACTAAAAGACTACCAATTCCTGCATGTCTTTAGACAGAGAGTGTTGTAGGGTAGTACTCTTTCAGGTCCTCAAACTTAGGAGGGGATAGGCCCATACAAAGGAGGGCCTCTGGTATGAGCCGCCTCTTCTCAAAGGAAGTTGGAAAGATGCATGGTGACTTGCTGCAGGATACAGACAGCGTCAGTACCTGGTCAAACAAGTTTCGTCAGGTGGAGGAGGATGTGCTCAATTGTCTCAATTGTTGACAGTGTGAAAGTGTGTTACTGTATTAGCATTTAGTGACTCATGCATTGCTGGACACTGCTTAACTTGCCTCCTTGCTTTTCGGTCCCCACAGTTGTTACTCGTGCTTGTTTTCAGGAAGCATACTCCAGCTTTGGTCCGGCGCAGAGGGACTTGCAGGGCTCCCTTTGCGGCTCCTGCCTCTCGTCAGCGCAGCGACCTCCGTGCTTGCGGCTGGCCATGGGATGGGGCTGGATGCCTAACTTACCACAACTTGGAGCAGCCGACCAGACTGAGGCTCGTGGCCCACTGAGCGAGAGCCGCGCTTTATTAACTGCTGAACTTGTACTTCATTAACTTCTGCGTGAGGACTCCAGAGGGGCCAGGCAGGCACGCATCCTCCTCAGGTCTGCTCCAGAGGCGTTTCAGCATCACTGCTGCCACGTGGCGAGCCCAGCGTGCCATTTTGTACAGGCTGGGACTAGCACTTTTCCACAGTGAGTTTTCTCTCCCTCCTTGCGGCAGCTAACGCGTGGATATCGAGTGCTCTGCCAGGGCACTGATCTAAAACACCGCCAGCGGGGCTGCCTCTGCCTCTCGCCTGGGGGCTCCACCGTCAACCTGGCCACCTCGTCGCCCGTGCAGAAATCACCCGAGACCTGGCGGCCGCCGCAGCCGCACGCCCGCCCGTTACGTTACGCTACCTCACCTCACCGCCCCCCCGGCCCCGGCCCGCCCACCGCCGGCCGGAGCGCGCCTGCGCCTGCCGCCGCCCATCTTCTCGCGATATTCCCCGCCTTGCCTGCCTGCTTGCCTGCCTGGGCGGGCTTGGCGCGCCTCGGTCTGCCTCCCTCTACCCCGCGCCGGAAGTGCGCGGAGGAGCGTGCGCGCCGGGCGCGACCGTTGGCGGCGGCCGTTGCGAGGATGTCGGCCACGTGCGCCGTCTCCCGTAAAGCGCAGCCGCCGCCGCTGCCGCCGCCGCGTCCTCCGAGCGAGAGGGATCCGCCGGCCAAGGCGATGCGCAGGGGGCTGCGGCGGGGCCACGAGGAGGAGCGGGAGCAGATGCCGTGGCCGGGAGAGAGCGCGGTCGGCGGGTGCGGTGAGCCCGAGGTGGAGCAGGCGGCCTCGCTGAGCGACGAGCGGCGCAGGCGACAGCCGCAAGAGCCGAGGGCGCTGGCGGCCGCGGCAGCCGGGGAGGAGGCGGAGGAGGAGCGGCTGGAGCGGGAGCATTTCCGGAGGATCATCAACGCCTTCCGATACTACGGGTAACCGAGACCTGCCGCCCCGTGCGTGGGGCCCGGCGAGCGTCCCCTCCCTCCCTCCTCGCACCCACCTGCCTCCGCCGGTGTCAGGAGCTCGCCGGCCCCGCGGGCGGCCCGCGGGGCTCCCGGAGCTCTTTCCTCTTCCGTGCATGTCGTGTGGCCGCCGCCCTCGGTCTGTACGCCCCGGGGAGCGCCGTGCCTGTGGCGGGGGGACAGAAACTCGAGTCGGGAAGGGACCTCCGCTCCCCTTTCCTTTCTGAATGTGCCCCAAGTCGCCTCGGTGTGTTTGTCGGCTAGGAAACATAAAAAGGGGGAGGGGGAAGCCACAAGTCATCTCAAAGTACGACGCACCTGAAGAGGGTGCGAAAGGTCTCTTTATAAGATAAAACGCTTTAAGACGCTGGAGAGTACTCAAAACAATAGTAGTTCCTGCTGGTAAAGAAGTGCAAACGGTGTTTCGATTGTTGGGGACATTTCTAAAAGACGTGTTAATTTGCACGCGAGATAAGACCTGTTGATAGGGCTAATGGATGCCGGTTTTTATAAATTTAGTTTTCTGGACACTGGTGGAGTCAGTAAAGGCCTCGATGGCCTTGTAGGAATGAGATTAAGGTGGGGGCACAGGGACCCGACTTTATATCCCAATCCATTGAATGGAAGCAGAAACAAAAGTTACTCAAATAGCGAGGTGGAGGGGACTGGCTGAAAAAGGCCAGTCCTCTGGCAGTATTTTGGTAAACTCTTCTGTTACTCTAGGCTTGGGAAGCAGATTTGGGTTAGAGCTACACTACATATTTGTATACCTAAGTTGTCAAACCCCAATCGTCTGAATCATTATTATGTGCTGGGCAATTTTTGTCAATGTAAAACAAGCATAATTTTTACATGACAGTGGGGTTCTTGGAAGGAGTGGGTCATACTTAGAGTATTTCTTCTGTTTACTCTTTTTATGTCTTGGGTTTTTTCTTGTTGCTGTTTTCCAGGACTAATATTTGAGTGGGAGGTTGGTCTAGATGACACTTCAATGTCTCTTCCAAACGGAATTCTCTAATTCAATTTGGCTGCACCAAAGACTTTATGTTAGTTATTACTACTAGCACAACAACCAACTGTAATTTACTTACGTCAGTGATGTAGTTGTGTTGTTCCAAAAGTGGGGTCATTCACCTGGTGTGCAAAATGCCAAAATACACACAGAGCAGATGTAATTTATTCCAGTTCATATTTGAGCAAAGATGGGGACTAGGTGGTAAACCACAAAGGTAGCACACCTCCTGTATCCTCAGGCCTTAGAAGCTGGGAACATCCTTCTCAACCTCATGCTCAACTGTGACTCTGGGTTGCTTTTGAATACTTCAGTTTAAGTAAACACGTAACAAAAGGATATGACTCAAATTTCCTGTACAGAAATAGAATTTAATTACCTCTGCCTCAAAGAAGTAACTCGGAATTTAAGTGAAATTACATATCTTGCTAGTCAAAAAGAATTTAATTGGAAATGTCTGTATGAATAAGGCAATACCATGCTTTCAGATGAGTCCAGATTAAAGTTCTTGTCTTCTGGAGATACATGGACTTAACTTCATTCTTTGTGCATAGTTCTTCTGATTTCAGTGAATTATTCATTCTGCTAGAAGGTTGCAATTCAACTTGAAAGGGTGGAGGATTAGTTCAAAGAGTTTTTCTGACAAAACTTTCAAGACCATGATACTAAGCTAAGCTGATGTGCGTTATGTAGAGGATGAATTTATTTTTCTTACTGTTCCTTCTCTGGTTTTTGTTCTTAAATGTCACTTTAAACCAGTGTAGCTATTGCAGTGAACATGCCCTTCTTAGTAGCGTATATGTAATTTTAGAGGTATTAACTGGTCAAATTTCCAGAATGAGGTTGCAGCTAAAATTGCAGCAGTTGCACCTTACTCTCTGATGGCTAGTTTTCAACTCTGCTGCTGTATGCTGACACCGAGTCTAAGAAACTGCAGTATGACTTGACCTGATAAAGTCATTTGCTGCTGCCAAAACTTTGTGACCTCTCTCTCTAGAGTCCTGTAGTGGCTTCAGCCCAGCCGGTAACAAAGCACCACGCAGCTGCTCACTGACTCTCCCCCCTCCCCTGCCCTGGCCACGGTGGGATGAGGAGAAAATGTAAAGGCAGGCTCGTGGGTCGAGATAAGGACAGGGAGGGATCGCTCACCACTTATGGTCATGGGCAAAGGACAGGCTCAACTTGGGGAAAACACAAAATCAATTTAATTTGCTACAAATCAAAACAAAGCAAGGATACTGAGAAGGAAAACCAAACCTTGGAACCCCTTCCCCCCACCCCTCCTTCCTTCCCAGCTCAGCTCCACTCCCGGTTCTCTCTCCCTCCTCCCCCCAGCAGCGCAGGGGGACAGGGAATGGGGGCTGGGATCAGTTCATCACACCTTGTCTCTGCCGCTCCTTCCTCCTCAGGGGCAGGACTCCTCACTCTTCCCCTGCTCCAGCGTGGGGTCCCTCTCACAGGAGACAGTTCTCCACAAACTTCTCTGGCATGGGTCCTTCCCACAGGCTGCAGTTCTTCACGAACTGCTCCAGCATGGGTCGTTTCTGTGGGTTGATCTTCAGTCACTGACTGCTCCAGCGTGGGCTTTCCCATGGAGTCATGGCCATCTTCAGGGGCATGCCCCCTGCTCCTGCGTGGGCTCCTTTCTCCCCGGGCTGCAGGTGGGCCTCCGCTCCCGCGCTCCCCCCCGTGGGCTGGGGGACACAGCCTGCCGTCTCACCACGGGCTGCAGGGGCATCCCCTCCTCCCCCGCTCCTCCTCCCCTCCTTCCACACTGACCTCGGTGTCTGCAGAGGGGTTCCTTCCTCTCACATTCCGATCCCCCCACTCACTGCAGGTTCCCCCTCCTAAATCCGTTCTCCCAGAGGCGCTACCACCGTCACTGATGGGCTCGGCCTGGGCCAGAGGTGGGTCTGACTTAGAGCCGGGGAAGCTTCTAGCAGCTTCTCACCTCTGCAGCCCCCTCCCCCACTATCAAAAAACCCGTGTCACACAAACCCATAACAAGTCCTTATGACTGTGCTCAGCCAACCTGACTTGTTAAACTGACAGAAATCAAATCCAGCAAAATCTATACAGGTCTCTTCAGGGTTAGCAACTTAAACGAGCTTTGTGCCAGGCCTGGTGAGTGCTAGAACAAGGTAGAGAGTAGAACTGTTCTGGGTAAGGAGAAGGAAGAAGGAAAAAAAAAAACAGACCTCTTTCTTGTGGCAGTAGATTCACCTTTTTTATGGAACTTCTATTTTGGGGAAGTGGAAGAGTTATTTTTAGCCTGGATCAGTTACTTGATCAAATTCACAGTACTCATACTTGAGGGGAATATGCTGAAAAAAAAAAAAAAGGTAGCTTAGTGTCTTAGTGTGGCTGCCAGAACTCCGATATGGTCCAGCTGTGACTTCTACGGTTCTTTTAGAAGCAGTTGATTCTGAGGATCCCTGTTCACACTCCACATCTCATTATTTCTCTAGCTAAAGTTTACCATAGCATTCAGCTATTCATTCAATTTAAATTGCATTTGTGAAACAATCTGGCTGGTTTTGATGGGTTTGGGGGCTGGTGGTTCATAGATCCATGTATTAAGATAGCCATCACTTATGCTGGAAATGAGTGGCTGATGACAAAACTGCAAGAAGAAAACAATGTTCCTCTTAAACTGCAGCATGTTGAGCAGTAATGTAGAACTAAAGCTTAAAACAAACATTTTGCCTAAAAAAATATTGAAAACTTGTTCTCTAGTAAGGAATTGCAAAGTCTGATCACTTTCTGTGTCTAAAGAAATGAGTAATTGTAATTAGAGTAGCTTAAGAGTGAATTACTTGTATTTAGTGTGTGTACTGCTTCTTAATATCTAAAGCCCTTAAACTTTTTGCTTTTTAGAACAAATATGCACGAACGAGTGAACAGAACAGAGAGGCAGTTTAAATCTCTCCCACCTAACCAGCAGAATCTTCTTCCTCAATTCCTTCCTCACCTTGACAAGATTCGGAAGTGCATTGACCATAATCAAGAGATACTACAGACCATTGTGAATGACTGCGTTCATATGTTTGAAAATAAAGAATATGGAGAAGATGTATGTTAAAATGGAATTTTTCATACTTCAAAATTAAATTCTGTACGCTTTTAGATTTTCTACATTTGTTTTTCACACCTTTAGGCCTCCAACTGTCTTTTCTTTTTGCCTTCTTTATTTTCCCCTTTCTTATTTCCTGTTTGCTTACATTTTCTCACTCTTGTCTTAAACATCAGCTCTACAAGATGTGAAATAAAACTGTTTGTTGTTAGTCCTTGTAGTTATACTTATGAAAACTAATTGTGAATCTGGCAAATGACAGTAATCACTTATTGTAAAAAAGCAGTTTTTCACTCCAGAGTTCTAGTTCTACCCTGGTTACATTTTAAACTTACTTTTTCAGTTAACTATGTAGAGCATAAATGGTATTGTCTGTCTTACTGTAGGTTATTACATGTTAAGCTTTCTAAATCAGTTACAATTTTAGATAGGCCAAGAATTTTTAATGTTTTCATCTGTAAAAACTTTTTCACTACTTACCTACTCTTTCAGTGTGGCATATCTATAAAAAAAAATGCTCTCAGACTTAAAAGACTGGCAGAGATGGAAACCGAAGTCCTTTTTTGGTATCTGCAGGCAAGGTAACAGTAATGGGCAGATCTAATGTGAGCTTCTCAGTGTTGCCTTATCAGTACCTAAAGGGATCCTTTTCTCAGTATAAGCAGGTCAACCTCTGCACTAGCTAAGCCCTGGTCCTTTCCTGAATAAGGATTACCAATTGTGCTCTGCTGTGCCATACTATGTATTGGTTTTTTGATCTGGAACCTTGGTCTCTTGGGTGCCAAACTGAGATCAGTAAATTCAGTTTGTTTGGGATTGTAGGTTGGATTTGAGCCTTGGTCCCAGGAGTGAAAGGCGAGTGCTTTGTCAGCTAAAACTCCCAACAGCCCTTATAGCATGGCTTTTGTCTGTTTATAATTTACTTTTTTTTTTTCCTTTCAAGACTAAAGGTACTTGGTACATTTTCCACTAACTTTTCCCCCTCCCCCCACTTTAATCAGGGAAGAGGGAAGATTACACCAGCTTCAACATTTGACATGGATAAATTAAAATCCACTTTGAAGCAATTTGTGAGAGACTGGAGTGAAGAGGGAAAGCCTGAGAGAGATTCCTGCTACCAGCCAATCATTAGTGAAATTGTAAAGAACTTCCCAAAAGAAAGATGGTAATAGTGTTTTAAGACTTACTTTTATGTGGGCATATGCTGTTGCATTAATCTAACAAGTTTTTGTCAGGTAATGAAAAGCTTGGATTTAAAAATACAGAAATTATTGTGAATGCAGTGGAATTTATTTTTTAATCAAGAAAGTTTTTGTTTCTAATACAAGGTGTTGGAAAAGAGCATAGTCATAAACTTCAGAGAGGAATACCAGGTAAACAAGAAATAATTTATTTTTTTTTCCTGCAGCTTGATGTAACGGGAGATCTGTTAACTTTTCAAGTAAGAGACTTCAGGAAGTTGTGAAGTTAATTCAGTTGTGCTCAGTGCGGTAAAGTGTGCAGGTTAGCAGATTCTCAGAGAGCGTGTGCTGCATGCGGATGAAGGGAAGGACCCTTGTGACAGCAGCGAGTATGAGTATTGCCCTTCATGGTGGAAGGAGGGAATAAGACTCTTAACCTCTAGCACAGTTTTATTGCACTAAGAATTTACCCTGCAAATACTTAATTCTAGCCTTGGTTTCAGACAGGTGTTACAAGACAAGTCTTAAAGTCTTGTTGCATTATGTGAGGGTAGCTTTGTAACTGCATTGGATTGTGAACACCACCAAAATAGTCATTGGCGGGGTGTTTTAGGTAACTTTAAGTAGGAGTATACTGGTAGAATCTCAGAAGGTACTACTGCTGTAAGAATGTGTTAATGGTTCTGCCATTTAGTCAGCCTAGTCATCATAAAGTACATTTCAGTTTAAACTTAACACTCTTATAATGGGAAAATCTGTGAACTTTGTGCTCATAAATGTAACGGGTCAGAACTTAGGTTTGATATAGCTTAGTGGTACTGTGGGTTTCCTTCTTTCTCAGTAATTGCTAATAATGCATTCCTACCAATTTGAAAATATCTTCCACTAGCCATCTTTTCATTAGTAAAGACTGTTAGTGGTGGCAGAACATGGGAGTGAACATAGTTGGTCGTTTCTTCTTTTGCTTTGGGCTAACTTATCTCCAGGTGGATGCACCACTAAAAATGTTTTATCTGAAGGTGAACTTTCTGCAACGTTTTTAGTGCTAATAGTCCCCTAAATAAGATAAAAATGAATTAAATACTACAGATTACCTGATGTACCTCTGATCTACAGATGTATAAAAAGTCATAGTTTTGAAAGTAATCATCCTGATCTTCAAGGTAGCAGTTCACCTTTTTCTCTGTATGCTAGCTTTTAAAGCATTTTGGTTATGAGAGAGGTACCTTACGTCAAGAGATGCGAGACTGAACCTGAAAAGTCTTGACTTTTACATTTATCATCAATCAATTCTATTTCAAAACTTACAGTTGGTGTTAGGAAACAACATGTGGTAACAGATTGGGTGAATCTGAAGTTGATAGCTTTGTGCTTTTTTACAAGGAATTCTGTTTGTTGTTGTCAAACACAACTAATGTGACAGTGCTTCTGTCCCTGTTGTAATGGCTCTGAAATACCAGTTTGGGGTTTTTATGTCACTACAGAAATCTCAAAACATCAGTGTATAGATCAAACATCGCTACTACAAGTTTGAGTTTGTCAGATGAAACAATTTTTTTATTTATAAAATGTGTATTACATATATACCTGTTTAAAAGTGTGATCATTATGGAACTGTCCTAGCACTTACGTAAAACCTTTTCTCTGTTAACATATCGTTACTATCATCAGCTTGCTCTTTTTCCTAGTGACCAGAGGCTCTCCCACTTAGGTGTAATTTATCTCTTTGAGGCGAGAAGCAGAGGTGTTCAGAAGGGCCTGTTCTCTTTGTGCATTATCAGGCATAACTGGCAGTGCTACCTCACCCTTGTGCGAGAAGTAACTTCCCTGGCAGGGCAAGATGGCTGGTCAGTCTGGTTCCTTTTTTACAGTTTTGGAGGGGAGCAGTTGTTTCAGTTTGAAGGGATGGACGGGGCTTGAACTAACTGTAGTGGTTATTCTGGCTGTTGTGTATAGCGGGTACAGAGTTTCCTCCGGAGAGGACTGACTGTGGGCGCTAATGGAGGAAAACAGCCTGTAGATAGAACCTCAGAGAGCAGCTCTGCATTTCTTTAGAGTTCCCTTATGTAGCACAGAATGCTGAAGTCTCCTGAGATGATGAAGGGAATGCTAGAGAAAAAGTGTATTGTTGGCAGTGGGTGATGAAAACAGCTTTGTCTAGATGTATTTTGCCTTGAAAAAGATGGAGAAATAAATATTTTAAAACTGTCAGTACAAGTCACCTTTTACTTTTTAATGGCTTCAATGGAATTGTACATTCAGTTTCTAGTTAACGTTATTTGTTAACATTATTGATTCCATGCATTGGAATAATGTGAAAAAGGAGTTTAAATTTTTGAAACTATTCAAGTATGTTTTGCTCCACGCATGCACATTTTGTGTTGCTCTTCTTTGCAAGATTGGCCTGTATAGGTTCAGTTGGGTCTGTGAAGAACAGGAAAAGTGCTCTAAATGCTTGCTCTTCTGGGACGCAGAAGAGATACAAGCAATGGTGGAAAGCACCTGTAAATTAGAACAGTCTTGTGAGTAGGTGCTACTTTTACCTTGTGTTTCAGTCCAGTCTTCTGAAGACCATCATCTAAAATTAAAATAAAATGGCAAAAGCTGTTTCTGCCTCCCACTCCTCTTAAGAAGTAATTCCTTCTTTCTGTTTAGCACCTTAACACAGAATCTGTTAGTAGGATCAACAAAGCAGTTTTAAGTGAAGTCCTGTGAGATAAGGTCTTCCTGAAGAACTGATAGACTTCCTGTGTTATTCATGTTGGAATTTACTTGTGTTTCATCTCACAGGGTCTCTATAATATTGTCTACTTTTTGATGAAGCCTTTTAAATTTCTTGGATTTCTTGGATCTGAATGAACCATGATCACTGCTTTCTGTGGGAGAAATAGTAGAACATAGGTACATTTTTATTTTTTGATGGAATGTGTTCATTAAAGCATTTTTATGGGGAAACATTAAGTTGACAATCTAAATAAGCATACTGGTATATTGGGGGTTTTTTTCTAATTCCCCTCTTTTGTTGTCTTTATTTTCTTTTACTTCTACTGTTTCCCTTCCTACTTATGTGAGAGGATGCAAAGATCATCAGCTTCTTGTCCAAAAGGAACCAAAGAAATAGTTAACCTTTTAGTTAATTATCATTCCATGTCCAAGAACAGGAACTTAGGTATTTTCTCCAAGTTTTCCTTCATTCATTAACTTGGCCTCTGGAACCACCTATAACTTGAAATTTAAATCTGTCATGCTGTCTGGCGATTGATTGCATTTTCCAAGATGCTGGCAGGACAGCCCAAAAGAAATCGTCAGTGCTTAGTTTTCTTTCTATTTGAAAAACATAGCTTATTAGTCCTAAGCCTGAGCTTGGCTATACTTCTTGCATGTGCTCAGTCACATTTATAGTGATGATAAAATTTCTGCCTTATATGAATTTATTTAACTTCATTTAAAATACATCTGTTCTTGCAGGGTTTTTAATCTTGTCAAACATTGTACTTAGCCTAAACTTTGCTTTAAACATTGGATTTAAGAGCAAACTATATCTTCAGTATTACTGCAGTCCACTGAAGGCTTTGCAGGTCTTTACATGGAAGTATATAAACCTCAGCTGCTAAGTTTGGAGAAGAATTGCTCTTCAAATGATTGTGCTTTATAGCTACCTTCGTTATTTTATTTGATAAGTAGTTGTCTCTCTGAAAATATGACTACAGTAAAATTACGAGAAATACTATACTGAGAATTGCATCTGTTCACTATCTAAATTTACAAACATTAGAGAGATAACAAAGACATCAGGAAAGGTGTCCCACAGTATCGGCTGTATGTTCTTATCACTTCTTATCATTAGATAACATTGAATTGCAGTGTTTAGTTTATGAAAATGACGTTTGTGTTTGATCACACACACTAATTTTTCTTTTACTGAAATTCAGTTTACCCCTTCAGCACCATCATTTTTTGTTAAAGCACAATAGGCATAAAATAAGAAGCTTCTATTTTTATAATGTATATTTTTTCCCTTTAAAAAAGAACACCAACTTAAAATCTTCATTAATGGCATTAAAATTCTAAAAGCTGAAAATAAATCACACTGCAAAATGCAGTACAATAATGGCATGACAGATTTTAGTTGTTTCTGATACTTCTCCACTGTCTTTTTAAGAGACTGCTGCAGTTTCAGTAGTTTGGCCAAACAGTACCATGCAGCCCTCTTCCCTTCTCTTTGGCCAGCCCCTTGTCCCCACAGCTGTTGTGTTGATAGGCCAATATTTCTTCCCTATTGCCCCACAGGTTTTTAATGGGTACTTGTTGGATACCTATTTAAGTTCCTAGCCAGTGCTAGATCTGTGTCATAGAAATCCTGCTGCTGCTGGCTAGTTCAAGACTAGTTTCACTGTAGGTAACCTTCGGCTATTATCAGCTATCACAGTCTTGGATGTTTTTGTAATTGTCTTTTGCTACTGCAGCAATTGCATATCCACCAAAGGAAAGCAGGTTTTTCTAGACCTCTAAATTATCTTATGACTGTAGCCATTAAAAAAGCAGTTTCTGTGCAGTTAAAAATTCTTAGCTGTTCTAAGGATTAAAAAATTAGCATAATATAGTGCATCGGCATGTTCCCACTACCACTGGTTTTGTACCTTAATTTTTTTGAAATTCATAAATGGTTTGTCACTAAATTCCTTTTAAGTCTTGAAAAGTAAAAGGTATTTGAGCATTTTTTTTTGACAGCAGGACACTATCAACAGTCGCCACTTGTTATGCAGTAGCATACCTGATTTCTGGTATTATAGATTAAAAAAAATACTCTTAAACCATTTTGGAAGGCTAGCATCAATGTTAGTGGACTCAGATTTGATTATATTGTATTGTTAGCTGTGTTCTGTATGCTGAAATGAAGTTGGTGACCAGCACCAGACCCTAGCAACTCTTATGAAGAGGATAGATATAAATTAAATTGCTAAGAAGTTTCCAGGCAGACTTCAATCCCTTAATAAAGGTGCAAAGGAAGGTGCAGTTAAAATCAACTGTTTCCTAAGAGAGAATTGGGAAAATTAGTTGAGAGATAGAAAAGCTTTCTATTGTGAAGTAAAAAGATGGAAGAGAATTACAGGCAATTTAAAATCAACTTACTTGACTGTTAGAGGCTTTATCTTGTTTTAGGATGAATAAAGGTGCCCTGCATAGCTATTAGTTATTAGGTTGTTTTAAGAAAAGTGTGTTTTCTAATCAAGATGTGATAATGTTGAAGTGGCATAAGTCTTTTCAACCCCTTCATTATAGAAATGTCCACATGGGGGTGCAAAAACCTGTGTAGAGCTAGCCTAAATATTTTATAAATGAAGTTAAATTGTAAGGAAATGAAGAAATAGATGAGGTCGGGAATGCATTTGGAGTAACAGTGTACCACTACAAATAGATAAAGCTGCAAGATTGAGGTTTTTCTAGCTTCTCCCAGAAAGTGGATTTTCTTCCTCTTCCTTCTCGGTCCCTATTGTCAAAAATTTCATCTTGAGCAAGTAGTTTTCCCCTGAATTAATCTTCCTTTTTTCAGTAGACTTCCTGGCTAGCTTTCTGCTGGCTTTCCTTCTAGAAGAGATAAGGAGAACCGTTGCTTCACAGAGTGCTCTTAAGTGATAGCAAAGTCTTGATTTCCTGCTTCTTGTTAATTGATATAATAATATTCAATGTAATCAATATGATAATATCATAATTTCATAAAAACATTGGCCTATCAACCCAACAGCTGTGGGGAGAGGAGGCTGGCCAATCAATATAATAATAATAATAATAATAAAAACCCAAAGAATCTGAAAGTATAATGGAATGGAAATGAAAATCAGGAATGAGAAGAACTTTGATTTTCCATTTGGGAGGTTTCATTAATTAGATGATTAAGCCACAAACCAAAAGGCACTGTTAAAACTGCTTTGCTAGTTTGTGTGATCTTCAGAAAACAATAATGCTTTCTTTTGGTTTTGGGTAATAGTCTTCAGAAATGTATGACTTTTCAGAATTTACATAACTCCTTCACTCATCCTCATGCTTGTGCAACATGCTAACTCTTTCGAACCCTTTTTGGCATCCTGAATTTTTATGTAATCACAGGCTTTGTGTTCTGCTTTCTTTCATCATGTTTGGAAGTGCCGATTGTGGCTTCCTTCATTTAGTTGCATATAAATTGATAAATGTATGTTTTGTCTTTGAAGGTTACATACAAAAGAGAGGGTAGTCTTTGAGTGTTCACACTTGGTTTTTTGGTATATGAAATGATGAAGTGTTGTTCATGACTGGAAACTGAAAAATTGTTTCTTTTTAGATTACATATATTTTCAGTTTGTTGTGGGAGTGTCTTGGTCTATGAGTGAAGGTTTGATTGCATTGTGATGGAAGTCTAATGGTTAGAATATGTATATATTGCCTTTTCTGCCTGGAAGAGGAGAAAATTTTGAGATTCTTAGTTCTCTTTATTAGTTGCTGAACTTGGAAGATGGGAGAGGTTTTTCTAGGTATCTCAGTAAACACACCCTGCCAGACATCTTCTGCTGGTTGTCTTCAACTTGATGCTTAATTATGGGAACTGAAGGGTTAGAGAGCTGCAATGTACTTTGATCTAGGAGATCTTATGTCACTTAATGTGCTTCAGTGAAATCGGTGAGCAGCATATGTAAAACCCACAGCTGTTGAGAAGGTAACTACTTTAAGGTTTTTAAAGTCTGAATTGCTCATCAGCTTATGGAAGTTTTGCTCGTTTTGTGTTTCTGATGTCGAAATACTTGTTTATTTTTCATGTGATGTAACCAAGAAGATTTCTAGAATATTTACTACTTATCAGTGAGCCTCACAGAAAAATAACTGGTGCTATATGATAATGTTCGTTCTTCGATTCACTTAAGAGATTTTTAGCTTGATAACTGTAAAAGTGTTCAGGAAAATAACTGTTTTGTAATTGTGCTCTGTATTCTGAACGAGGGTTGTATATATTCTTATGGGTCATTTCTGTGAATTGTTTTGACTGCACAATTAACCTATCTCATCAGAACTAGCTCAGTTTGCATTTAAAAAGTAAAGTCATACAGGAAATACATTATAATATCTAAGTATATGGTGGGGGGAAATGTTTGACTGGACCTCTGTAAGTTTTGTTAAGAGGTATCAGATAAAGACTTAACTATTATTTTTGTTCTGTTGCAGGGATTTCTCCAAAGTTAATATCCTGGTACCTGGTGCTGGGCTAGGTAGATTGGCGTGGGAAATAGCTATGCTCGGTTATGCTTGCCAAGGAAATGAATGGAGCCTCTTTATGCTCTTTTCTTCTAACTTTGTACTCAACAGGTACATAGCTTATGTTTTACTTGCTGATTGAAACCTAGGGAGGCAAAATTATAAATGAGAAAAACTTGAATAAATAGAACTCACAAGAACAGATTTGTAAGTCTTAACACAGGACACACATAATCACTCATAGAATGTTTTAATGAAAAAAAAAAATCAGTGGGATAAAGGGGGGAGGAAACCATTCTTATCCGAGTCATTAAAATTATAGCAGGAAACATGGCTTTTAAGTTATGAGACTTAAAATCTCTAGATTGTACCACAGATTTTCTACATAATCTTGAATAGGTTTTATGGTTTATTTCACATCTGTTTCTGTAAAATGCATGCCTATCTCACTGGTGTCAAATATAGGCTAGTTAATATATGCATGGTACTTAGTGTTGGTGATTAGTAACAGAGGAATCTTGTTAAAGAAAGTGTTACATTCCATGCTAAAATTTTAGGCACTGTTTTGACATGAAAAACAAACCACTGAAGCATGCTGAACCACTTCTTAAGCAAGTGGCTAAAATAATAGAGTTAATAGTTCTGCAATTAATGCTGAAGTACTAAATTTGAAGGTAGTAAATTTTGCTTTATAGGTTCAACTTCGAGTGACATTTCTGTATTTGGTATTCTGTCACCTAAATTAGAAACTACTGGTTTTATAATGAACTTATTAGAGAGGATAGAAGGCAGCAAATTCAATTGTTCGTTTTCAGAAAGAGGGTGGGAAGACTATGTGTGGGCAAGTATGAAAGAGGTCTGAGACGGTGTTTTGTTTTTTGGGGGAGTTGGTACCAGGTTCAGAGAGACAGAATTTGCCAGTTCATTCTTCAATCTGAAATTATACACCTTCACTGAAAACACCTAAACTAGTGGCTTGTATTTGGTATTATCATGATGTTTTGGAGCCCTGTTTGTAGACTGATTGTCCACAGCAGACTGTGATGATATTAAATCTGTTATAGCTTACTGTTCAAAAACAAGGGGGAAACGCTGTTTATTACAGCTGCTGCATGTCTGCTTAAAACAGTATTGGTCAGTGTGATGAAAACAGATATTTGCTAGAGGTTTATTTGTTCTTTTTCTTATGTCATTCTTAAATGACAGCTGTGGTTTAACCCCAGCTGGTAAATAAGCACCACGCAGCCACTCACTCACCCCCCAACCAGTGGGATGGGGGAGAGAATGGGAGGGGGGGGGGGGAGTAAAACTCATGGGTTGAGATAAGAGCAGTTTAATAGAACAAAGGAGGAAACTAATAACAATAAAAAAATGACAATAATGGTAAAAGGGTTGGAATATGCAAAACAGATGATGCTCAGTGCAATTGCTCACTAGTCACCGACTGATGCCCAGTTAGTTCCCAAGCAGCGATCCCCCCAGGCCAGCTCCCCGCAGTTTATATACTGGACATGACATCATATGGTATGGAATACCTCTTTGGCCAGTTTGGGTCATCTGTTTGTCTGTGTCCCGTCACAACTTCTTGTGCCCCTCCAGGCCTTCTTGCTGGCTGGGCATGAGAAGCTGAAAAATCCTTGACTTAGTCTAAACACTACTTAGCAACAACTGAAACCTTCAGTGTTATCAACATTCTTATACTGAACCCAAACCATAACACTATACCAGCTACTAGAAAGAAAAGTAACTCTTCCCCAGCTGAAACTAGGACAATGACTCATCTGGTGGTGAAATTGTGTATTACAGTTGAGCTGATCTAAAGCTTGCAGCTACCGAAAGGGCATCACATTCTTCTTGTCCTTAGGTATACAGCCTTGCTGGTTTTTACGCTCTTTGGAACTTCTGAAATTATTTAAAGCAGCATACAAGTATTCATTTGCCATCTTTGGGAGCGCTCATCAGCTGTCATAGTGGTTCAAACCTGAAAGTTAACTTCACCCCTAGCTACCTCTGATGACATGTTTTTTGTCTTCCTTAAATAATGAGGTTTTGGCCTATGTGTGGAATTCTCCTGAAAATCCATGCTTAGCTTATGATAGTAATCATTCTCAGCATCTAATGCTCATGTGGTGTTTCGTATTTATATAAGATATTTAGGAAAGGTGTAGATGCATGAGATTTGCTAACAGTATTAGATTTTAGCCAGCAAAATTGAGCGTTGCTTAGCTGCTGTAATCTTGATCTTTGCTGGGCAAGTTGTCAGTTACAAGTTCCTTGTTAGCATGGAAGAAAATACTGCTAATGTGACTCTGAATTTCAGTCAATTCAGTTGAAGTCCAAGCATTCCTTTCTGCCACATCTAATTGTGGGCTTGGAATGTCTATTAAGAAGGTGTTAGGGACTTCTGGGTCTTTCTTTTTAGTCTTAAGTGGCTGTTTGCAGTTAGCCTTCTGAAATGGATGTTTGCCTTCCTGGAACTGGAAGAAACAGCAATGATCAATATGAGCTGAAGATACCAGTTCTGGAAGAGTGGTAAGAAAGAAGGATTTTGCAAATTAGTTTTTAACTACAGTTTTAATTTAATTAATTTTTGTTTTCAGTTGATAAAACCATGAGGATTTTGCTAACATTCTTAGTTTGGATATACCTTTTTTCTTTGACCTTGGTTTATTTTTAGGAAGACAAAGTACTGTCTTGAGTGTCCAGCCAACTACTGCAGTGGGCTCCTAGATGTGGCAGTGACTTAAGTCTTCTGTATACGAAGTGGTATAATTCTCTTAAATTGTGAACTTTTGTTACTGTGGATAAAGTTGCACATCATGGTATGTAGAGAGTGCGTCAAAGCATAACTGTGGTCACTGTATTTGAAATTAGAGTGCATTATTCAGTTGAGGAAGCTCTAATTTGAAAACAAAGTGACCCTGCAGTAGTTAAGCTACAATGGCTTCAAGGCTGCTGCAGTCCTTGTATGGGAAATTGTGCTTTTTCTTGTATGGGTAAGGTTCTTACTGCTGCTGTATTTTTCTAGTGTTTACATGAGTTCTGCATATGACAGATGGCAGAGGTGATCGGTGGTGATGTAGAGACACACTTCATTTCTTATATGTTTTAGAAGAGAAAAAACTGAAAAGCATAATCTGTTGTCCTGGCTCTGGAAAGCATACCAAAATTTTCAGGCAGTCTAGAACCACAGGTCATATGTTACTTCCCTTTGACATCTGACAGGAGGGGAAACAACACTAGGGTGGTATCTGTGTGGAGGAGACTGGAGCAGGTGGTTGCTGACTTGTTTTCTGCAGCTGGAGATTCAGAGCACGTGGTCCGTAGCCTTGGTCCAACAGCTGTTCAGTAGCAACCTACTAATATTTGAGAAAGTTCAGTTGAAGTAATAGAAAATCACTTTGTAGCCAAGCCAGAGCAGGGTTAGTTTAAAAAAGCTTTAATTAAGACCAGTAGAATTCATGCTAATAATTGGCTAATACTTACTTTCTGGGGAGAATGTAATTTCAGATAAATCTTGGCATTTGAGAAGGCTGCTTAACTGTATTTGTTGCATGTCCATGAATGCCTTGGGATGAAAACAGTTAGGCATTTTATCTTTAAATCTGTGGTCAGAAGTAGCATTTGACCTACCCATCTTTTCCAGAACTGTCTTTTTGACTGAATGTTGAACAGTAAATGCCCTGCCCCTATGGAAATACTGAAGTGTGTCACACCTAGCTGAAGATGTTAAATTTTTACAACATAACTTACATCATTCATCTTTTGTTGCAAGGATGGAATTGTGAAGGACTGCAGTACTTAGTTTTTAAGTATAAGTTACTGAAGCTGGAAAGGAAGGTTTTAGAGCTTGAATATGGAGAGGGATCGGTCTTTTATATTAAATTTGGAATTCTTTTGGGGACTGCTCGAAAGTCTACAAGAATATACTTTGTGCTGAGAAAAAAAAAAATACAGGGATGTGTGTGTTCCCTTATAGCTGAGGAAAAAAAAACTTCCTTTCTAATCTGCTCGGATCTCTTACTTTCTTTACCTTGCTTTTGGGTAAATTTTCATTGTTAAAGAAAAATGTTCTGAGGATGATACAGATTGACTGGGAACATAAGGAGAATGCTAGAATAGTTAACACAACTTTTACTGGCCAATGTGAGGGTTTTGGGGTGGGCTTTTTTGTTGTTGTTAAGGGGGTGTTGTTTGTTTGGGGGGATGGCTTTTTGTTTGGTTTGTTTTGTTTTTTAACCAAAATAAAAATGCCTTTCTTGAATAAAATGTTACCAATGTTATAAGGTTTTTTCCCTGCTTTTTTTCCTTTAATTGACGGCAGATACCTGTTATTTATTTATTCATTCGATATAGAGGCAGTTAATGAGCGCAGTATACTGCTGCTCAAATACAGGTTGGTTTTGTATTTTTGTTTACTGATAAAATGAAATATAAGTATGACATGAAGAAGGTAACAAATGTTATTTCAAAGACTTGACTACAGATGTTTTCTATCCACCAGCCAAAAGAGTGCATGTTCTATAACCTGGTAGAGTTTGCACTTTATGAAGGGTTTGGCGATACATGTTTATGGGATGGATGTGTCCTCTGTTGTCTCTGAAAGAAAATGCCTTCATTTTTTAATTTAAAACTGTGGGAAAAGCTGCTTTTTATACTCTAATGCTATATCTTATCACTTTGTAAAGTAAGAGTTGACTTAGTTGGTCATGTCAACGCACAAATTTATTTCACAAAGACCTGTTTACTTAGCATAATTGCAGCACTCCAGATGTCACTAACTTAAAATGACATCCAGTGCAAAACTATTATGCTTTGCAAAATGGAATTTATTTATTGAAATTTAGAAGTATCCTTTCAGTTAGCATCTGAAAAATGCTTTTTTTCTGCTGTGCTTCAAAACCCCTACTATTATGGTTCAGAAAAGACAGAAAAGTCTAGAATGAGAACGAATGTTTCCAATAAAATTCATGTAACTAATGTTACTAATTTTCTTTTTTAATTGAAAAATCATTCAGAAAGGCTTAGCTTTACTGAACATACTAAATCATAAATTTCATTAATCCTATTGAAGAATCTTGTGCATTTTCTTTTCAGTGGAGAAATAAGTTAGGGAAAATGGTAAAAAAGTGGCAAAAGAAAATTTTAAAATTAAAAAAAGCAGTTATTTTGTGGTGGTAATTTGTGTGTCAAGAGTAGAATTGGGTTTTCGATCAGTTCATAAATTGACGGGCAGTGTGAAGTGTTATGAACTAGATAAAAGTCCTTTAGAAAACATGTAGCTTTTGCAAGAACTTTATCAACAAAACAATAGATGTTGGTGAAAGTCTTTGACTCCTACATTTATAGATAATAGATAAGCAATGAGTTGAAACTGAATTGTGCTGATTTCTGTATTTTGCAGATGCTCTGAAATTAACTCATGTAAGCTTTATCCCTGGATTCATCAGTTTAGCAATAACAGAAGATCTGCTGATCAGATACGTCCAATTTATTTCCCTGATGTTGATCCTCACAGTCTTCCTTCTGGTTCAAACTTCTCTATGACAGCAGGGGATTTTCAAGAAATATATTCCGAGTGCAGTGAGTAAATGCAAACTTCTAGGCTATCCATGTAACTGTATTGTCAGAGTATTTGTTATGGGACAATTAGTGATTACAAATAGAAGGGAACTGTATCTACAAGCATTAAGCAAAAAGTACTAACTGTACTAAGATTTTCTTAGTACAAATCAGCTTTTGTTCTTAGTTATAACAAAATGTGGATACCTCCTTGTCTAACAGATCTTTGTTGCAGTAGCTCCTTTTAGAGTAAGACAGCATAGTAGTATCATGGAAAGGTTTACTTGATCTAGAAAAGTGATGTTACTGTGGTGGATCGACCCTGGCTGGACGCCAGGTGCCCACCAAAGCTGCTGTATCACTCTTACTCCAACTTAGCTGGACAGGGGAGAGAAAATATAACAAAAAGCTTATCAGTCGAGATAAGGACAGGGAGAGATCACTCAACCAATTACTGTCACGGGCAAAACAGACTCAACTTAGGGAGAATTAACTTAACTTATTGCCAATCAACCAGAGTAGGGTAATGAGAAATAAAAACAAATCTTGAGACACCTTCTGTCCACCCCTCCCTTCTTCCCGGGCACAACTTCCCTCACGGATTCTCTACCAACCCCCCCAGCGGCACAGGGGGACGGGGAATGGGGTTTACGGTCAGTTCATCACATGTTATTTTTCTGCTGCTTCATCCTCCTCGGGGCAGGACTCATCACACTCTTCCCCTGCCCCAGCATGGGGTCCCTCCCATGGGAGACAGTTCTCCACAAACTCTCCAACATGGGCCCTTCCCATGGGCTGCAGTTCTTCATAAACTGCTCCAGCATGGGTCCCTTCCATGGGGTGCAGTCCTTCAGGCACAGACTGCTCCAGCGTGGGTCCCCTGCAAGGTCACGATTCCTGACAGAAAACCTGCTCCAGCGTGGGCTCCTCTCTCCACAGATCCGCAGGTCCTGCCAGGAGCCTGCTCCAGCGCGGGGTTCCCATGGGGTCACAGCCTCCTTCGGGAACCCACCTACTCTGGCGTGGGGTCCTCCCCAGGCTGCAGGTGGATATCTGCTCCACCGTGGACCTCTCTGGGCTGCAGGGGGACAGCCTGCCTCACCATGGTCTTCCCCACGGGCTGCAGGGGAATCTCTGCTCCGGCGCCTGGAGCACCTCCTCCCCCTCCTGCTTCACTGACCTTGGGGTCTGCAGGGTTGTTTCTCTTAACATGTTATCATTCCTCTCTGTGCCTGCAGTTTCTGTGCCGCCACAAGTTTTTTTCCTTCTTAAATCTGTTCTCCCAGAGGCACTACCACTGTCACTGATGGGCTCAGCCATGGCCAGCAGCGGGTCCATCTTAGAGCCGGCTGGCCTTGGCTCTGTCGGACATGGGGGAAGCTTCTGGCAGCTTCTCACAGAAGCCACCCCTGGTACAGCCCCCCCCGTCCCGTCCCACTACCAAAACCTTGCCACACAAACCTAATACAGCTACAGAGGGAACAATGTAACTTGTCACTTCTCTTCTTTAGTATAAAAAATAGAAACATGAGTATTTTTTTGTTAATTTATTTCCTGTTGTAAAAGCAAAGTAAACTGTTTCAGTAGTAGCAAATTACAAATGAAAAAAATATATACTTAGTGACTGTCAATAGTAAATATTTCAGAAGCATGTTATGGACATGATAATTATGAAAGATTGAGACTTCTGTCAGTACAAATAACCTTATTTTTTCTTGTGATACCAGGTTAGTTGTGCTGTCCTCATTGCAGCTATGAAGTAATGTTTTATGACTAACCTAATGTTGAATTAACCTGTAGAAGACTATCTTATTTATGCCTACTCTACCAATTGCATATTCGGGATTTGATCAAGGGTAGCACTTATCCGGTTGTTTTATATGTAATCTAATATTCTAATATATGGCTTTTTAGAAGTTGCAATTGTTTCCTTACACAGTATTGGATTATCACCTGAGACATCTATTTTCTGTTTCCACCTTTCTGTCCCTATTAGACCCATAGCCATTGTTCACCAGGATTATATAGTTATTGATCTGCCCCTTATTGTGCAGCTAGACTTCAAGAAACTTTCTTGCAGGAGCTTTTCTTAACAGTTACTTAATTTTCTGAAGGTTCTGTCTTACATTAGAACCTTTGATACTGGCATAAATTGAGTTTAATTTTTTTATTTACACAGCTTAAAACTTTTGCCATTTCAAGGATACATGTTTAGAGAAAAACAGGAAAACATGCTTTAAAAGGTAGACTTTGAAAGATCCTGCTTGTTAAATTAAGTGGTAAAAAACAGCTAGAGAAATACTCAGATACTGAATAAAATGTTTTAAAGCTATGTGGTTTGTGAAAGTACACTTTAGTGTACACACTTGTATTGCCCTAGGTATTAACTAGAGAGGCTGAAAATCACTATTTTTGTAGTTGTATTTTTAACAGTTGTGGTAATGATGTTCATAGGACAGGTGAGTAACAGCACACCTGGGCCTTCATTTATATAAAATGTGTTATAATATTTACATATGAATAATTTTATAAAATGCATAAATAAATATACATGCTGAGTATATAAACAATACAAATGTAAACAAAAAAGTTAAATTATGAACTTTTACAGGGGTAGAGACATTGAAACTAATCTCTGTATACTTTGCTCTTTTTATGCAGATACATGGGACTGCATAGCAACTTGCTTTTTCATAGATACAGCACATAATGTTATTGATTACATTGATACTATATGGAAAATACTAAAGCCTGGAGGAATATGGATAAATGTAGGCAAGTGTGACCAACCTCTCTTTCTGCTAGCCCTGGCTTGTTTGATCATGTAACAGGAACCTAGTACTTGAAAAGAGTTGTGGGGATGAATGTGTCTGTGCTGAAAACTCTGTAGAGCTAGAAACATCTAGGGCTTGGAAGTTACCTCAGATGTGTTCAGAATATGTCCAGGTGTTTGCTAGTTACAATCAAGTCAACACCATGTGATTTTTAAATAGAGAATTAAATTTTCCCAGTGGCAGGTTTTGCATTCATGCATCAAACATTTGTTATTTGACAAATGTAGTGTCCTGTGTTCTTTTTTGCTCTTTTTCTAAGAAAACAGGACTTGTTTTGCATGTAAATACATCGTTGCATTTTTTTTCTTAATCTGTTGTCTAATTTGTACTGTGCTTCTAAGCAGAAGCTTTGGGAATGAGATTTATCTATGCCTTGGCTCAAGAGAAAAGAGACAATTTAAGTCTTCCATGGTGAAGGAATGGCAGACAAAACTCAGGAGTTAAACATTTTGGGTGGTAGAAACTGGTCAGTCACTGGTCAGTCAGTCACTACACAAGTCCTGGCCAGTCAAGCAAGCTACTGAGTGTAGGCCACAGTATGTCCTGTCTTCTGTTTATAGAGACAGCAGTGATGCTAGACTGAAGAAATTTTAAGATTCAGAAAACAGTTTGGTAAGAAATGAGACTGTTGTTGAATAAGCAGCTGAACTAATTTGTTTTCATTTTGCATTGATTCTGAAATTTGTTGTAAAAATCATATTTGAGTGATGGAATTGTGTTCTTTTGTCTGTATTTGAATATGTGAGTCTAGCTATAAGCATTCTTTGGACTTTCAGTGTGTGCTTTTGATTTTTAAAACATTTTTGTCTTTTTGATAGCCATTTCCCTTGTATCCTTGTACTCTAGGTCCTCTCTTGTACCACTTCGAAAACTTGGGAAATGAACTTTCTATAGAATTAAGCTACGAGGATATAAAAAATGTTATACTGCAATATGGATTCCATATAGAGGTAAGAAGATGCTGTAGTTTGCAATAAGTAAGTAGTATTGGTATAAACTAGATAAACTGCTTCGAATAAACCCTTACCTTAAATTTAGCTCAACATAATGGCATATACTAATAACTTCTAGGAGAATTAAATGTTTGTGTTGCAAATTATTTGCTTTCCTAATTTTTTAAAATGTATAGATGGGCCTTGAAATCTAGCAAGTATATAGCAATTTCTTTCTTATGAAGAGAAACTTGTGTAATTCTTGTCGAGAAGGTGTTTTGAAAACTGCTGGGTTGTTTTTTTCAGGTGGAGAAAGAATCTGTACTGTCAACTTACACTGTGAATGAACTCTCCATGATGAAATACTACTATGAATGCGTGTTGTTTGTGGTGAGAAAACCAGAATAGAAGTGGTCTGAATAGGTTAATCAGAAAAAAATGATGGCTTGAAAGCTAGAAATGAGAATAAAATGGACTGGGTGATGTCTGGACACAACCTCGAATCAGTGGTGCCTTCTTATTCCTAATAGGATTTAGATAGTGTCTATTTTCTTAATATCTCTGTTGCTATCCAGACATGTACAATGCCATGTGTATTTGTAATATACTTGTGAAAACAGGGGAGGAAATGATCACATACACTGTCTTTGTGCTTTGGAATGCATTAAAATAAGGAAAAAAAGTTTTCTTGAGAATAAATACTAATGTTTGGCATACCTAGGCTAATTCTCTGCATATGCTGCCTCACTTTTCATAGATTTATAATTATTTTCTTTTTTCTACTTTCTGATTTTAGGAATGCATAGAGGTGCTTACTGTACTAGCTGTGTCACATTTAGAGAAATATTTCTAAACCTATACTTAAAATTATGAAGTCTGAAATGGTTGAAAAGTGATAAAATTATTCTTGATAGATAAAATAGCCGTCAGAACTGTTCGAGCATTTTCTCTGGAACTGAAACAAAGTAGATTATTATACAAATTGTAATCTTTGACTGTACCACTATTCACACTTTAATCAAAACACAAAACCTATAGGCAATTTGAAATACTATACTGAGTGAAGAAAAAGCAGCACGTCACAGGGAAGCCTCTGGTATGTTAACCTCAGTTCCGAAATAACACCAATTTTGACTAATCTGTTTACCCTTGTGACTTAGTGACTTCTTGGTTCCTTTTCCTAATGTTTTTTTTTTTCCTGGCAGATGTGGCTTAGGTGAATATTTAGTCTGCAAATTGTGATACCATACAAGAGGCTGAATCTTCTGTCACTTAGAAGTTATGTACATGAGAAAACATTAATTAATAATCACTGTGCTGAGAGGAGGTGTCATGTTAGCCATTTTGTTTTCTTAATATATTGGTTAGCTTAAGTGCCATTTTCATCCACTTTCAAAAATTTCTTTAAAATATAAAACATCATGATAAGGAATTAAGGTTTTTTCATATTTGGTCATAATGGCACTGGACAATAGCTTGTTTGTTTCCCATTATTTCTAGTCCCTTTTTTCATGGTGATGTCCCAGTCACATCTCTTTAATAGATCTGTTACTGGCTTTTGGATTTTTCCCATTAAGGCCAGAAATTTGTGCCTTTGTTCCTAAATTGAAAGTCTGCAAGGAGGGAAAACACAAATTTTTTTTTTTATATAGTTTCAACACTGTGTGAGAGAACACATGCCTGGGTATCTTTCAGTATTGTGCCCCTTTCTGCTGAGAATCCTTATTGAGAATAAAGGCTTCTTGTCTACAGAAGGTTTTCAGTTAGAGCTTTGTTAAAGTAGTCTTATTTGAATTCTGTCTTCTTTCTAAAAGTGGCCGACCAAGATTTAGCTCCATAAAAGAACTGTCAAAGTTCTACAGTGCTCCAAGAAAAATGTGTTTAAAGCTGAAACACTGCCATTGCAACAAGTAGATTAAAAATGAAAGCCCTTGCACACCTAAAAATAAGGGGGGGAAAAAAAGTTGCTTTAATTTCCTTATTGTGCTTTTGGTCTTTTGAGGGACTTTGTGATTCTTTGCTTTCATTCTGATTTTTTTTTTCCTTAGAATATTAGTATTTTACTTGATTTTCAAGCTCCTTGAAATGGGATGTTAGGTGAATGTCAATTATGCTGTTGCTGGGTAGTGTATCTACCTGTAATATTGCCCAGTTTCTGCCTCCTACCCAGCCTGTAGTTACACTTGCACTGTGGTGGTCTCATTTTTCACAAATAGGCAATCGAAATCTTGCTTTCTGGTTGAATGTCAATATCCTTTGTTCTGGTGGTTTTGTTCTTTCCCACCCCATGTTGTCACAAGTGCCATTTTTGTGTTATTTTTGGAAAATATGTTTTTATTTACTTATGTCAGGTATATAGTGATGTGCTTCTGTTTCTAATGTAGAAAATGCTGGGTTTCCCTACTGTTCTCCTTTTAAATTAGAACAGTTGCATTAAGAGTTAGTAATGCAGAGTAATCTTGTGAATAAGCTGTATGAGTGAGTAGTGATTTACCTGCAGTCCTATTTATGAGTTCTCTAAATTCATCACTTGTAGTTTTATGTGCAGGGATGACCATGTATTATTGAATGTGATCACATTCTTCTAGTCAATTGTATACATGGGGGGAAAAACGCTTAAGGTGTTGTATCAGCTGAAGCCAAGACCATGTAAACTATTAAACTGTACGTGGTATCGGGAGTAAAATAAAATGCTGCATAATCTTCAGTGTAATACTTCTTTCTATGGAGCAAGTTTGACAAATGTGTAAAGTGTCCCATATTTTTATTTATATGCAGTACGCTCTGAAATCAGTTATGAAGGTACGAAGGGGAATCGTGAACTTCCCACTATTTTCAGCGTGTGTCATGGACTTGATTTTTCTTGGATATTAAAATTTGCCGTATGACTGGTCTCCCTCATGTCTGATTCTGTCCTCTGTGCTGAGGTACGACGGAGGTGTGGGCGGCTTCCCCTGTTGCTGCTTCG